GGCACTCTCGCGATGCAAACGTTAAACCGTCTGTGTTTTGCTTATTAGGCTGACTGATTTGTTGTTGATGAAAATCGACATAGTGCGTGGGACGCACTATTTAGCGTTGCCACATAAGAGCCATTGAGTGACTCGTAGCTATGCTGTGTTAATAGTGTAGCATAGCAATGGGTAGTTAACTTCCCTGTTGTTACAGTACTGATGTCTATTTCTGCTAATATAGATTAACTTTAATATTGATTTAACGTATTTTTTACTTCTTTTAATTTAAAAAAATTAGAAAAAAGTAAACAAAAATTAAATCGAAGTTATGATTAATCCATATTGATAAAAATAGATATGAGCTTTTCAGAATTCTAAGTCTCTCCACCACTTCAAGATTTGTGGAAGAGATATCAATGAAACGCCATGATTTTAAGTACATTAAAAAAAAAATTAGTATGCGTACATGTTCCATCCGTAAATACATCATAATGGCAAGACATAAATTTTTTTTCTATTTATTATACATTTTCTCTCGGCTTATTAAAATTACATAATTTCTTACTTTTCGCAAAAAATCAGATTCGAAAGTATATGAAATAATAATGAAATAATATTAAATAATTCTCTTTCTCTCATTTTTTATTCATGAAATCAAAATAAACTTCCATTTTTATGGTTAACTGTTTTAATTTCCATATTATATTTAGATCTAATATTAGAAATGTACATTTTTTATTTAAATAAAATAATATTGATATATTTAAATTTTTTTATTAAAATGGTAAAAGTTATATGATTGAACACAAATATGTGTTTGACACAAATTAAAATGGATTATTTTAATAATCAATTGATTCTTGATGATATTTGTATTCATACAAACACACACATATAAGAAACTAAGGAGAATCAAAATACAATCAGAAATAATAAAAATTATTATTATATGAATTAATTAATAATTTATAAGTTAATAGATATGAATTGAAATATTAAAATGAATGAAATATGAATTGAAATATTAAATGAATTTGAAATATTAAAAATGTCTCTCTCTGTTTCTTTCTTTGTCTCTTTTTCTTTTTCTCTAATTATGAATTAATAATCTCATAAGCTAAAAGAATTTTTGATGCGTTACTTATAATAAATTCAAAATTCAATATACCATAATTAATATTATTCGATGAAAAATTGAATCCAAAATCAATAATTAATCTTCTGTAATTATATAATATGTTATTAAATAATAATATTAATATGTTAAAGAGAATATTTGTTAAAATATAAATTTTTTTTCATTTCATAACATGTTATTGTAAAATACTTTTCCTTTCTTTTGTATCTTTAAGTCAAATATATTAAAAACTTTCCATATATTTTCTTTTGTACTACTTTATACAATATTTAATCCTTGAACTAAATTGAAGAATCAAATACAGATTTTACTCAAAGGCTATTGGAATAAGAAAAAAAGAGAGAAAGAAAGAGAAAATGCATACACAAATACATTGAAATATTTTAATATTTTTCTCTACTTTATATATTATTATATACTTTATATATTATTTTTATAAATGTAAAGTACTGAAATCCACATTCATGCAAATTGATTCGACGATTCGCATAGCATTCTATATTTTCGATGTGAAAGATGCAGCAAAGAGCGTGACAGATAAATCATTATGAAATTTTAATTCATTTCCAAATTGATGAGGAATCGAAATGCAACCCTGCAAAATTTATATTCAATGCTTCTTCAAAAAATAATCGTCGTTCAATAAATAAATCACGATGAAACGTTAATATGAAAGTCCGAATCTTCAATTCCTACAAATAAATCGCGCGAAACGCACACCTACTTTGCACCGAACAACCATATACGTTTACGAGTTGTATAAATTATTTAGTAAAAATAATGTAATAATTAACGTATAATAATACAGTAATTAAGAGAACGATATATCTTTCTCTATTCGTAGTTTTCTCCCGATACTTTTATTGTATTTCATAATAATACACGGAGCACTTAACACGACAGCCTGTCGCTTCGAGCGTCGGAATGGGAATAGTAGTGAAATGAGATTTTGATAAACATAACACATGAAGCATCGGGTTAAACGTTTGTAAACAATAGCGTGACGCGTTGATTTCGCGTATAAACAATAGAAAATATCAAGATCAAGATCACGCTTCGTACCTCGCATGTATAGAGTTTTTCATCGTTATATTAAAATATTCAATATTTTGTAGAAGAATTTACTTTGAGAAAATTCTCATACACACATGTATTCTGAATTAATTTCGATAAATATGCTATATCGTATCGCGTACATTAAATCTAATAACTGTCAGGAATCAAATGAAAAAGGTATGTAAATCAGATTATTATTATTATTTATGATAAAAAATGTTGCAATTTGAGAAACAGTAAAAGTATCATAATATATCGAGATATTTCTTTTGTATTTTAATAAATAATAAAACTCATATTATTTTATCAATTATTATAATATTATAGTAAATTAATTATTCGAATTCAACTTAATGTGAAGTAAAAATGTTAAGTGAAATTATACATAAATTAAGTGTTCAAATTATATGATTTTCGATGAAAATGAATAATTTCATTAAAAAAGATATTTGAAATCGCATGAACAATAAGTGTAAAAGATATACATTTCTATTATAAATTGCATACATTTGACATTTACTGTTTATACAATTTCATATATAGGAATAAAATTTCATATAACTTTTTGTAACATGGAATTTTGCTCGGCAGTTTCAATATTAATCACACACAGCGCATGATTTCGACAATGTACACATAGTCATATATGAAATATTATTAATAAATTCTCATAGAATAAAAATAATAGAATAATAATAATAAACAGTTTTTTCTGTTAGTCATTTAACTCAACAATTCGTTTATTATTCCGTTTAGTATTTGTAAAAATAATAAAGAACAAATTACATTTATATTGGCAAAAAATGTAAAGAGGAATATATACAATTTATCATTTAAAAAAGAAATTATCCATAAATCTCGCATTAAAATAGTAATTAAAAAAAATTTCAATAACTTTTGATTTTTTATTTCGAACAATTAAAACGCGTGAAAATTTTTTTTCCTTTTATCTGAGCATATTTATAAATTGTTGATAAGAATTAATTGATGATGAAAATTAATAGTTTGATGATTGTTAATTGTTCAAAAAATAATTTTAACCGAGAAATAAACACGATGATACATGGACGATTTGTTCGTGATTCGTATTTGTTTGTGATATGCAAATAATGGCATGATTATACATATGTATTATTTGTAAAAGCAAACATCAAGATCGTATATTAGTCATCTGAAAAAATATTTGATTTATTACAAAATAAATTTATGCCAAATATTTTGTTTTTTGTTAAAATTTCTGTTTTTTTATATGAGTTTTGATGCATGCTATGATATCGCATACATTAAATTTTTCATTTATTTGAGTAGAAAAATAAATCTTGCTTAATCAAAAAAGTATGCAAATTAATATTGTTATTATTTTATAAGCCACATTCTTTCATTCTGATAGGAATAAAAATATGTATAATTTTAATAAGTTGGAGTTTAATAAGTGGAAATAAAATATAAACGTCAATTAATTATAGTCATATTAATAATCGGAATATGATCACGCGAAACTTAACATGGAATTCTCTATATTTATCGGACTCTGTTATATTTTTTATTATATCCAGAAGATTTAGCTTTGTAAAATAATCTTTTTAAAAAAGCGAAAAAACATTATCTGTTAATAATAACAATTTTTTTCTTTTAGAGCAGTCAGGACACCTTTAATTGTCATAACAGAGTCAAGTTTTTTCCATTAAATTTTCTTTACTTTTAATTAAAATTGTTATTTTCTTTGATACTTATGTCACGAATGTAATGTGGATCTTATTATGCTTTTAAAAATTCTTTATCTGAAATTACATATTGTAGATTTTACAATTATATTAAAATACAAATTCATGAATAAATATTCAGGCGTAAAATATACAATACTTATGTATGTTTCATTAAATATTGAAATATGACAATATGAAGAAAAATATAATTTCATATTTTATTTATAAGTTTTTGCCAGTTGATTCAAAATTCTTTAAAATGATCATTTTTACAAGAAAACACATTTATGTACAATACAATAAATTATATATGAATATATAAAACATTCTTTTAATGTATTTTATTTAAAAGGATTTTCTATTTAATTATATTATATATTAATTATATTATATATATTATTTTTTGCATAACGAGTTTTTGATAAATGTACGACGTGTTTTTCACTTTTTTTTGAAAAGATTATTTTGAAAAAAAATTTATGCCACAAATGTAAAATATTCTTTTTAAAAAATCTTTTTATCCTCTTGACTTAATCATAAGTTTATCGAAGCTATCAAAAATTTTTTGTACATAAAGCTTTATACGTGATTTACCAATAGGGAGGCGATACAAATCTTTTTTAAAATGCGAATATATATTTGCGTCAGATAACAGCAGTTAACGACATAACTTATTCTGATTTACGTGCAATACGGTTATATTTTTATGGCACACGGTTCCATTAGCTTCGATGCGCATGATTTATGTAAAGTGTTCTTGGCACTTTCGCGAAAGGAACAAGGCTACTCTTGTACGTCCACTCACGAAAGTCGACCGCGTATAAATATGCCTTGTCTACGCCCGCTTGTACTATCGCGTGTAAAGTTTAAGGGTCGCGAGTAGCGACTTTCCGGTGTCTGGTGTCTAAATAATTTTCGAGGGCAGCTGACCGGGGAGGAACGTGTCGATAAAAATATTTTCCATTTTTATAACTCGACTAAAAAAAATAATTCGACCGCAAGAGAGATGAAGGCGATCCGTCCTTTATTATTACTTCGCTCTCTCATTAAGAGTTTTACTAGGGGAGAATTCCTGGATGGATTCTTTGTACCATGCATCGCCCTTTTTCTCATTGCAGGTGTCCTGGGTGCGCAGACGGGGAGAGGAGCTCCATATACTCACCATTGGTCTCGACACGTACGCGAGCGACTCCAGATTCTCTCTAGCTTTTGAGAAGCCTAATGACTGGCGATTGCTGCTGCGTTCCGCAACGGAACGCGATGCCGGCCTTTACGAGTGTCAAGTCAGCGCCCACCCGCCATTAATCAGAACTGTCCATCTAGCGGTGTCAGGTAAGTGAGCGCGTCATTGCGTGTGCGTTCATCTGACCGTCCGGGACTTGGCAACCTCGAAGCAATCAAGAGCTTGCTATTTCCTACCTTCGCTACTAACGATATGCACTTTGATCTGACGACCGCATTGCGGCCCGTAAATCACCGTGTTTGTACGGGGTGTCTCGGGGAATCGTCGTCATTATCAGAAATCGCGGATTTATAAGAGTCAAATTGAAAATAGAATGTATCGTCGGATTGTAGATTTTGTCGCGGCTAAAAGGCCACTTAAGATCGAGAAGCTTGAATAGCTTTCGTAAAAGAAAAATATTACTCCAGATTGTGGGAATGATTTGGTAATGAGAGTGACCTGAGGCACTACTCTGTATCATCGGTGAAGCACTTTCTGTTTTTGATGTAATCAGTAGGAAGCTTGTTTCGGAATTGCGACATTCGTAGCTGTTCGCATATTAACGCGAATAAGAAAATTATGCTAATTATGCTAATGATAAAGATGAAAAGGCCGCGCGTGTACGCGCGTTATTCTCTTAATTTACTGTTAAGGTACTTCCGCCTAGAAAATCATCCTCCCCGTAGATATATAATCCATGTGTCCCGTGGCACGTTTTCGCTAGATCATAAATCACGGTAGCCACGTCGTTAGGGTCGTCCTCTTCGTGGCATAATGGCGATCTCGATGCTGTAACGATGTTCTCGTGGCGCTCATGTCCCACAGCCACTTAATTGGAGTCCCATCTCTTACTCGTATCCTCTTTTTCCATTCCACTTCTCCCTCTCTTTTTTCTATTCCCGTTTTTTATCCGTGTTTTTCCTTTATTATCAACAATGTTAACCGTGCAAATCTATCCGTATAGTACAAGTTGTGCGAGTGTGTACGAATAAAATCGGAAAAAACAGAAGAAAAATACAGAAGTACATTAAACTATAATAAGAAGCTATAATAAGGTCGTCTTCCTTCAGTCACATAAAGATATTATAATTTAACTTAAATAACTGGCATAACTCATTCTAATGCATAATAAAGCTCATTATCATCTATCATCTATCTTACAATTGCTTTGCGAATAATTCGCGAGTGACTCAGCCGTCAATGTTTGATTGATAGCAAGCAATATCGCAGTTGTCAGCATATTTGATTAATAACGGATGTAAGACTAATAGACACTTTGAAGATCAAATTCGGGCTTTCATCTACAACGTCCGATGATATCTCTATATAGTATCTGACGGTTTTACTTCCCCGGTACGTGTAGTTGAGCGAATAGTTCGACCGAGATTAATGAGACGGGCGCGCGTTGAAAAGAGAACTTGGAACACTTGCAGTTTCAGAATTTATATATTCGAATAAGAGTGATTATAATTACGCCCGTAGAATAATTGTGAATTAATTACGGTGCCATGAGCACAAGTGACGTGTGTCACGATAAATTTACGATGACGAGAAAGCCTTGCCAGCGAGTCTTTCAGAAATGTGTTACTCTCTTTTCGGTAAATAGTTTTAAATCTTAATTTTCATCAAACAATAATTGCATCTTCTAATTTTTATCTGACTTTTTCTTTACATTTTTTTCTCGTTCTAAAGTTTCTAAAATTAAATTATAATTGAATCTCGATTTTGAATATAATACTGATTATAATTATGCAAGGAGAGAGGTATATAATTATTTATTAATATTATATTAATTATTTATTAATTATTTATTAATTTATAATTCGATACTGAATTTCGATAGTTTTGCGTACTTTATCGTAGTCTTTTGTAAACGTGCACATCGAGATTTCGCTTTGACAAATGCGCACACTTGTTAAACTGCATTACATCGGGGAAGAAACATAGTGATAAGAACGCTGGAAGTACGTGATGAAAGATGGAGAGATAAGCAGAATGAATGGAAAAAAGAAAAAGGAAGGGCAGCGCGGTAGATGAAATCAATATGGGTATGCAGATATCGAAATATTTTTCAGTCACCGTAGCTGCAATAGGGGGTTATGAAATATCTGACCGAAATACCGGGTACAGGGTTGGAATAAATTCCGTGTTCTGTGAAATAAACGGAATATTTCGTGGACCCAACTGGCGAAACGAACGATTGCGGTATATTATTCTCCTACATATCGTTCGGCTTTCGTTTTAACTTATAAAGTCCGCTCAACCGTATCATTTTTCCATAACTTTCGAACGAAATATCGATACTACGGCTAGTCAGGATCTTCCTTATACGTTAAGAACCTCTCGAGGAATAGGATGTGGGATCTGCTAGAACAGCTTGACCGAGGTATATTTCGGCCCTCCCTGCCGAATACGATTTCCTAATATGAATATTTTCATGCGCATACACCATCATGAATTTCTTGTACTATTACTTTATGATTCACGCGTCAATAAAACTTCTCGTAGTACTCGCTTCGAAATTTCTATGCGGTATCACGACTTTTCGAAATTTATTACTTCGTTCTTAGGTAAACGGGGGAGGAAGGAGAGAGGGGGAGAGAAAAAAAGCTCGCGAGTGAATGATTTTCTTTGAGAACGTGTCGATGCGTTCGTTAGCGTCGAGAAGCTTTCCCTGCGAGAGCTCTCTCTCCTTTTTTCCGATCTTTTCTCGCGCATTTTCACATCTGGCTTACTCGCCGCTCTGCTTTTATCGCGTGCAGATTTCTATAATGACCCGTAAAAGTTGCGACGGTATCATTTATTATCGCGACTTTACTTTTCTTTCGTTCCTATTCCATCCTCTCATTAATCAAAAGGCCATCGTTTTCCCTCGATAATGATATCTATTTATGTTATCACGCGCGAGCCAAGACAATGTAGTTATATAGGGCTTTAAACCGCCGTTCAACATCGGCGAGAGTGCGGGTTTAGAAATAAAATTGCGTTACGGAACTTGAGAAATAATTCTTGGTCGCCGGCACTGTCCGGGAGCTTTATTTCTGGCGAACGTTCAAATAGTTAGGAACTTAAATTCCGCGAGCGACGGCGGCTTTTCCGATGGCGTAAACTGCTTGTGCCAGCGCTCAGTTTCTCGTTTCACTACCGCTGGTCTACATTGAGCTTTGGCGTTGTGAATTTTACGAGCCTCCAGCCAGTTCTAATCGGATTTCCATAATGGTCCATCGATTGATGTCGATCCAGTACAAAAAGAGCATGAAATTAATACAAGAGAGAGAGAGAGAGAGGAGGGGAGGGGGAGGGG